ATCTTAACCCCTTTCCCCTTCGGATTTTTGTTTCTTTTAGGGTCCTCCTTGTTTACTAGTTTCTCTGGCAGTGTGGATTGTAGGCTGGTAATCCCTTACTCTATGTCTAAAATCCACAAATGAGTGAGTACATATCATGTTTGTCTTTTTGTGATTGGCTTACCTCGCTCAGAATGGTTTCTTCGAGTTCTGTCCATTTTCCTGCAAATTTCAAGATTCCATTGTTTTTTTCTGCTGAGTAGTAGTCCATTGTGTAAATGTACCACATTTTCTCTATCCATTCTTCAGTTGAGGGGCATCTAGGCTGCTTCCAGTTTCTGGCTATTACAAATAATGCTACTATGAACATGGTTGAACAGATGTCCTTGTTGTATGAAACCATTAATATTTCAGAGATCTGAGTTTTTTTCAATTTTTATCATGTTTGTTTTTTGTTTTTTGAGACAGGGTTTCTCTGTGGCTTTGGAGGCTGTCCTAGAACTAGCTCTTGTAGACTAGGCTGGTCTCGAACTCACTCACAGAGATCCACCTGCCTCTGCCTCCCGAGTGCTGGGATTGAAGGAGTGTGCCACCAACGCCCGGCACGGCATTTCCCTTTTTTTATTCTATTCTCATTCTTACCATGTTGTCTTAAGTTCTTCTGTCTCTTCCAGCCTCTGCAGGCACAGCACACATTCACACTCGCGTGCTTACACACACACACACACACACACACACACTTAAAAATAAAAACTAAAAACCAGACGTGGTGGCTCACACCTGTAATCCCAGCACTTGGGAGGCAGAAGCAGACAGATCTCTGAGTTCCAGGACAGCCAGGGCTATGCAGAAAAACCCTGTTTGGAAAAACCAAATACATAAATAATAATAAAAGGACTGTTGGGCTTAGGGCATAGCTCAGATAATAGAGCTTACTGAGCATATACATAGCACTGGATTCCCTCCCCAGCACCACACCAACCAGTACACCAATCATCCTAGAACTTGAGAAGCAGAAGCAGGAAGATCAGAAATTCAAGGTCATCTACTACTACATACTGAATTTGAGGCCAGACTGAGATACATGAGACCGTGTCTCAAATAAAATAATATGAAATAGAACTCATGTTTATAAAAAAGCATAATATTGTTAATTTTTTAATCTGAATTATTTTTTAAGATTTTTCAACCTAGGCCCACTAGACATCCTTAGTTGCACAAATTAGTCCAGTTCATCTACCACAGGAAGAATAAAAGGGTGCTGGAATCCGGGACAGTACAAGAGAGGGAAGGGTCCAACTGGGTCCAGTGCTTTCAAAATAATTCTCCTGACCATCCCATGTCGGGATGCACCAAAAGGGATTACTTGGCATATTGTATGTTTTAAGCTGGAGGAACTTTTCTTTCTTTCTTTCTTTTTCATTTTTAGTTTTTCAAGACAGGGCTTCTCTGACTAGCCCTGGCTGTCCTGGCATTTGCTCTGTAGACCAGGCTGGCCTCAAACTCACAGAGATCCACCTGCCTCTGCCTTCCGAGTGCTGGGATTAAAGGCATTCACCACCATGCCCACTGAGTAGTTTCTTTTCAAAACAATGTAAATTATGTGTTTGGGTGTTTTGCCTGTATGTCTTCGTACCATGTTCATGCAATGCCCAGTGAGGCCAGACGAGGGCATCAGATCCCCTGGAACTTGAGAAGGTGGTGAGTTGCCTGTGGGTGCTGGGACTTGAATTCCAACCTTTGGAAGAGCAGCCATTGAGTGCTGTTAACCCATCTCTTTAGCCCTTCCCCACCCACCACCACCCCAAACTACCTTTTAGTTGTATTTTCTGCGTTACTTACAACGTGAAAGTTGCACAGATTTATTTAACCTTCAGCTCCACCTCTGTTCTGGTGTGTGTGTGTGTGTGTGTGTGTGTGTGTGTGTGTGTGTGTGTGTGTCTGTTTCTTTGTTTGGGACCTGACCAGAAGGATTTATTCCATCAGCATAAACTCCTGGCAAATTCCAGGTCGGATCTTCGCTTAATCTTCTATTGGCTCTATTTCACCCAAAGCCAATGCTGTCACACCTACCCCTTCTAGTGAGAGATAAAGGTTCAAACACTTAAAATAATCAGGCCTTCTCCTTAAAAACTAGCTTTATTTAGAAGAATCTGAAGCACAGTGACACCACAGGAGACAAACATACAAGTTACTCAAGAAAGACTGCATACACCATTTCCACTAGCGGAGTCTACAGACCACACAAGCATCTCCCTGAAAACAATGATGGTAAGAACATGGACTGATGGGAAAAATAGAGTCTCTGCTTGTCTTACTACTTCAGAATAAAACACTAATGTGTGGAAGACATGCTCAATGTTAAACTACAGCAGGATGTTTGGGGCAGAAGGGAGGAACTGAACAAGTATAATATTCCTGAGGAGAGATATTTATAATTGAGAATGTAATACATTTAACACTTTGAAGTCTAAAAACTATCCACATTTGACCAAATTCTGTCAGTTACCAAGCTAGTTTCGATTTCTTTGAAAAGTATAACCTGTGTATAAACCATGCAAAGATAATAATTTGGGATGATCCACTAGTTACTTTATTATTTTATTGTGTTATTGTCATTATTATATTGTCATTTTGAGACTGGGTCTCACTGTGCGCACTTGACTGGTCTGAAACTCACTCCGAAGACCAGGCTGGCCTCAAATTTGCAGAAATCCTCCTGCCTGTTTCCCAGAGCTGAGATAAAAGGTGAGTGCCACCATGCCCGGCCCTGAACACTTTATTAATTCATAGTAGTACTTCCTTAAAACCCTATGATTTAAATAGAAATATACTAAACTCTAAAAAGACCATTTGTCAAGTGTTAGGCAAAAAATAAACTCCTAAGGCATGGCACTAAACTTTTTAACACACAAAAAAATAGACCTATGAAAATATGGACATTTAGCCAGGTAGTGGTGGCGTGTGTCTTTATTCCCAGCACTAGGGAGGCAGAAGCAGGCAGATCTATGTGAGTTCAAGACCAGCCTGGTTTACAAGGGCTAGTTCCAAGACAGCCTCCAAAGCCACAGAGAAACTCTGTTTCGAAACCCCCCCCCCAAAAAAAAAGAAAATATGGACATTCCCATAAAATAGAATGGAAGCATGACTGGATGAAAGTTATTGCTGTACCATCTTATTAAAAAATACAGGATATACCACAACTAGCATGACGAGGTCTGATGCAGCCTCAGAAGCACAAACATAAACAAGTACACACTCACTTGGAAAAATATTCACAGGTATAGGAAATTCTTTTTAACTCAGCAGTTCTGGCTGATAAAGTCTAAACTGGAATATTTTAGGAAGATACACAACTTAAGCACACATCAGCATTTGGTTTTACTTTAAGCATATAATTTCAAATATGCAAATTTGCAATGTCCAAATATTATTTACTACAACCTCTTTGGATATAATTTTAATGATAATGACTTAAAAACATTTATTTATGTATTTATCTATTTATGTGTCTCTTTGTGTGTTTGCAGATGTCTGCAGAGGCTAGAAGAGGGTTTCAGATCCCCTGGAACTGGAGTTACAGGAGGTTGTGAGCTGCCTGACTTGGGTGCTGGGAACTGAACTTGAGTTCCCTGAAAGAGCAGCAAGTGTTCTCAAGGGCTAAGCCAATGCTCCAGTCCCAACAAAGAATGTTTGTAAACTACTGTTCTTAAAGATGTACTTTGAAAATAAAAAATGAAAATGTGTTTTCCTGGTTAGAAAATAAAAAATGAAAATGTGTTTTCCTGGTTAAATATTTCTAAAATCATGATCATGACTTTCCTTATCAAATCCCATCATCAGACAGTTACAAGCTAAATCACATCCATGTTCTTGTTCACGTTCACAAAGTCTAAGCACATGGAAGGAGTTTTATTGTATTAACAACTATCTTGATTACCTCAGCAAGTTCTTAATTAATAAAGACTGGTGCCACTATTTTGGTTATGGTACAGTGAATATTACTTTTAGTTGTGAGTCATCAAAGGCTGTCAGCTAAGAGAATTCCTCAGAAATCATAACTGCAGGCAGATGGACTCTCTTTTCTGGATACAGCCTTGCTACATAGCTGGGGTGGTCTCTAACTCCAGAGCCTCCAGCCTCCAGTTCTGAGTAATGGGACTATGAATTTACCCTACCACACTGAACAGGTTAAAACTTTAAGATGTATTTATTGTATTATGAATATCATGAGTTGCTAACACCACATTTTACTCCTCCCATGCCTTGAAGACTTCCCATAGACACTGATGTTTCACTTACTTCATAGAGTAGCTTAAAACATACCAGCATATGAAATAATTAGAATTACATAGTAATTTCCTTTGCCATA